TTTTGTCTGATCGAATAGTGGGATCTGACTATCACTCTTATAGCGTATCCATTCCCCATAGTGCGAAGCGCACTTTTACTATAACAGACCGCGAACTTTGAACCCACAGATTTACATTTCGGGTACGGTACCACGCTGCCAGACTCCTTCCCAAATATAAAACCATTAACCATAAACATGGTTAATTAGCCTTCTCCTGCGTAAGTAAAATAATTTTCTAAGTTTGTTACTAGTGCTAACAGACCTGTACAATCCGTTTATCAGAAAATAGTTCACTCTAAACATAAGCGAATAATGTATTTACTGCTAAGATTAGGATTTAAGTCTACAACGTGGCGAAGTTATTCACGTCAGTAAACATTGATATTCACGTCAGTAAACATTGATATTCACGTCAGTAAACATTGATATTCTAACAGGACAAGCTAGTATTTAACGTGTTTTTGATTTGGCTTCCTGCGATGTCGAATATCATTTTGTATCATATATGTTAGCCCCCCCCCCCAATAAACAAACAAACACATTATTTTTGAAGTGGTCAATAATTCTCAAAGATATCAAACTTTGCACGAAATGAAGATAAACGTGGGAGAAACTTATAACCATCTAAGTTGGAGTGATAAGTAATTTTAAAAGTTGTAACAATTGATTTAGTAATAACAATAACCAGAAATTGTGAGAACTGACTAGTTCTGGCAAATATAATCTGTATATAAAAACGTCTGTGTCCTCCTCTCCACCACTTCCAGCATACTCACTACTGCAAACTTTAAGGTTTCAAAATTTCCTTCTGTAAACCACTAGGTGGCGAAACGTGTCTCAAGTTGCTTATGCTAATCAATTTTCTGTGTGGAATTGTGAATTTACTCCAAGTTTCCAAAGAGAATCCAATCGATTTTTTTTTCATCTTTTAGTTGGGAAGTTCATATCTATTCAGATTTCGTGTTTAATGAACACTGACAATATCTGATTAGTTTGGGATTCTCACCATTTTCTGTTGCAGACAACGTACCGTCTCCTAGGCTGGACAACATAGCATGTTTGTGTTTTGTGGTTCTGGTTATAAGGTTTATCATGCAGTTTTTTTATGCCCTTTGTACTGACGATATATCTCTTAACAGAATCTTGTCTTTGTCGGTAGAGCGTGATTAAGGAGAAACTATAGAAAATAG